TTTATTTTCTGGTACTTCACTTCCAGACAGTTGTAAGCACTGTGACTGCCTCGAGAGTGCTTGACCATTTTAACACAACGTGGTGCGATCATCCCCCTTGCGCGGAGTGAGGGTTCTCCACCCCGCACAACATGATCTACTCGACCACCATTATGGTTACCGCCAAAAAAAAATATAGGAAAAAAAAAAATCACCGGTAACCTGGTGGCCGAGTTCACGAAGTGAATTGGCTTGTTTTACAACGTCNGGGGGGGGGGGGGGGGGGGGGGGGGGGGGGGGGGGGGGGGGGCGCAGAATCATTAATGGGGAGCACTTATTCCAAAAGATGCTACCCGTCAAGCCCTGTTAACCACCTCGGACTTCGTTGGGAGCTAGGCGACAGCCAGCAGCGGGGGAAGGGATTTCGCTCACACTGAACGGCGAACGGATTCCCATCGTGGCTCACTTCTTCCCATCTCTCCGAGTCCGCGGACTACGCGCACGGGTCGCTTTCGAGATGGGCCGGAAGAAGACGAGCATGAGGCAATACGATACAGCACAACCTCATGCCACAACAGCGGTACATAGCCAGGAGCGGTAAGACAAACTACGGCTGCTAACTCGGTTGTCGTCCCCGCGTGGGTTGCGCGAGCAATGGGTGAAGACGGCGAACCCCCGGGTAGACGCTACGCCAAATATATGGTGTCCTAAGCCCACCAATACCAAACAACTTTCAGCGCTGCTGGGCGACCTGAGCGGACGCGGGGCAACTGTAAGCATTTTATAGGGCGGAGTGGTTGGTATCTAACGTAGCATCTTGGCGCTAGTGTGACCTTAACCGACCCTTCTCGAGATGGACGAATGCTCCTATATGCTGCGAATTACACAAACATGGGCAGCTTCAGTGCTTGGGGCAACTGCGACTACAACAAGAGATCGCAGAAACACTCATAGAAGCAGCAAACAACAACGATAACAACAACAACAAAAACAACAACAACAACAACAACAACAACAACAATAACTTGCTCTCGGTGGAGAGCGGCCTTTCGCCGATACCGCGGGTGGTGTCATTGAAACTCACCCGCTTCTCCAGCTCGGTAATCTCGTCGTGAAGCTTGGCGAAATCGAACTTCTCCTCCGAGCGAACGTCGGCCTTGACCTGCATCAGGTCCCTCTGCATCAGCTCCTTCAGGTGCCGTTGGGCGAGGTCTGCCCCGCAGGTGCGCGAGGCAGCAAGAGACGAAGGGGGAACATAATCGCCCGATGAGGCCAGGGAATGACTGGTGTTCTTGAAGAAGGACACTGTTTTGTAGAACACGATCTATTCCGTTGGTCTAGCCAAGACTTGCAAGGGAAGGTAATTTTCACTTAGAACTTTTCGCAGAGACTTCAAAACCTCCCCTTGAGTCCGGTCTAGGGCGAGCGGTAGTTCTTCTGTAATGTTGCTATGTGTCCTGGAAGATAAAGGTGGCGACAACCACTTCCAACAATGGGTCTAGCTAACAAAGATGGTGAAAAGAGTGCATGTCTTCCAACCAAAACGTGTGTATAAAAGGAGGTGTCGTTGGTTCTAGGCACGATGGAAAATTTCAGGGTAAATTTGGAAAAAGGCGAGAAACCAGCATCTGCGTTTCCGATCCTACGCATCATTCTTCACCAATGCCGCAAGGCGATTTCTCCCCAGCGGGGCGGCAAGATCAGGAAACGGAAACAAAAAAAGCGTTGTTCTGAGCCTGAGCGCCCTCCGCCACGCTTAGGTTGCACGCATCGTGTCCCGTTCTTTCCCATGCCAATATACGTTCCTTGTGAGCGGTACCTCTCCTATATTGCTGACCAAACAACAAATACAGATGTCGCTTATTGAGACTCGAGACAGGGGAGAATTCGTGCTAACACCTTCGGTCCGAGAAACTTCATTGCAAATAGCCAATGTCAACACTCACCTGAAATACGTCCACCACGGCCAAAGAGAACTCTCCGGAGGCTTCCGACTGGATACTCGAGGTGGTACTTTACATCTTGCGCTGCTGGTTCTCAATTGTTCGATCATTCGAAACCACGATTGAAAACAAAACAGACGCAGACACAAACGCACAAGAAGAGCCTCTCACCGTATCGCAGAGTGGAAGAGTAGACCTTCTCATTGATTTCGGATTGCAGGCTGAGCAGGTCCTGCTTCGTCGCCACCTGAAAGCGACCCCGACACACCAAAACGCCGGTTCGACGCGGCGGTCAGAGTGTACTTGGTCACCTCGAGAACCGTCTACAATGCGGTCGGGATGTGAGTTCGAATGCCGGCAAAGGCGAGTTTCCTGGTATTTTGCGTGCTGCGCACTGAAGAAACGTGCCTGTACATGTGTTCACTGTTGAGGGGAAGAGGGTCGCCGACCCTCCTCGAGGTTGTAACCCGGGATCGGGGGCGGTCATGACATAGAGAAGCAACGCCGGTGCACACGGCGAGCGATGGGTAGCAAATGGGATGACGAACAAGAACAGGATTACACGACAATGGCTGCACCAACACAAACCGCTGGTCTAATGCGGTACTTGCACGAGCGGAACTCCTCTCCGTCGAGGTCATTCCCTTTGCCCCTGCCCACACCGAACGCTGTGGATTGATTGAGCAAACCACAGCAGTATATAGCGTGCTAGTCTTGGGAGCCGAGTCCCCAAGGTGCCACTGTTATGTTATATGATACCGATTGCGAAGCAGACATCACTCTGCCGCGCGATCTGAGTCCCGCTTATCCGCCACGCACCAAATATTGTACAAAATCGGTTTCAGTCTCATACAGTGTACATGGACTGCCTCCCAAAAAACTCCGTCACCAAACGAATCCCCACCCCTAAAACTCGCGTCAGAGCGATCTCCCAACTGCGTTTTCCGTCTACGACCAACAGCGAGTGTTGCTCCACCGTCATGATTTTCTGCATCCGAAACCTCAACGACAACAAAAACTGAAAGAGACGACAACGATGGTGCAAATACCCACACGAAGCATCCCCGGCACGACTCCTCCTTTTCTCACCAGCGCAATCTGACGAGTGTTTGCCTCGCTGATGGCCAACAGCACCTGCTCCATAATCATGACCGCCTGCCCCTTTGGAACTCCAGCTCGCTCCAGCTCCGTCACGAAACGGTACGTGTCGAAAGCCCCGTGGCCTTGTCGCGGATTGCTGGCCTCGGGCGCCGGAGTTGCGAGTAGCATGTCTAGATGGCGAATAAAGCGAAAACGTGAACAAGACACACAAGAAAAAACATAAGTTGTTCTTTTAATGCCGGAAGAGCGGTAGAGAGCATGAGAAACGTGGACGAGAAACAAAGAAAGCGGGAAACAACTGGAAGAAGTGGATTGGGATCACCGCAGATGAATGGGGTTATATATAGATGTGGAATGGGGTTGTTGTAAGGCTTGCAGACGATTCGCATAACAACGTACGAGATGCATTTTGAGGCCACTTTTTCGTCAGTGCCATCGAAGTGATAAGTTCCCGCCGTCGCCTCATCGCACACGAAACCGTGCTTGTATTTGCACCAGAGCCGATTTCTGTTTCGTTTGATGGGTTGCACGCCGACACGAGCTTGTACTCGGGTGGTTTGGACTCGTTGTCCGTGCAGATTCTGTCGGTACATTGTTTCCGGTGGTGCCTTTGAAACGCCCTCTATCCGAAAATTTTCCGCGCTACTATGCTGCACAACGGAATGTCTCTCGATTTTTGGTCGTCGACCTGCCAGAGTTGGATGTGCAAGGGGGTGCACTTCCGAAAATTTGTACATGAGCTGCGAACAAATAATTCCCGCGAACCCTGTACCGACCCGTAGTGAAGCACAGCACAGCAGATATCGAGGGGTCCACCTTTTGTCTTCCGTGCTATCATAGTGAGAAGAGTGCAACATCGAGAAGGGTAGCGTTTTTATTGGACAGGACTCAGTGATGAATGTCTGCACCATCTTCAGTAGGAGTAATGTCTCCGTTTCCGTTCTCAAAACACCCTGCACGGTGCTAATCCGCTGCCGGCGCTGTTGTGGTAGGGCATGGACAGATGGGTGATGCAGCGATAGACCACTACACTGTGGCTTAGCGTGCGCTTTACTGCTGTGATGGCGAATGCTTCACAGCATTCAAGTCCGATTTGTTTGGGGCGTTGGTGCCGCAAGAACTTCAGCTGGCGATAGAGGTTTGCACAGAACGGTATGCCATTCCTCTGCCATTTGTACGAATACGGAAGTTAGACAGCAGTCCCACGGTTGCCAAGGCGAGCAAAAAACGCGGCACAACCTCGGAGTTGAGTCCGGAGGAGGGCTGTAAAACTGAGTTGGTCGCTAGCAGCGGGGGCTGCACCGGCTTGTCGGTAAGCATACAATTAATAATATCTATCCGCGTATGCAAAACCTGAGCTGTGCCACTTTTGCGCACGCGGACACAAGGGCGCGCGTTGAATCTGTTATTTACAGGAGTGCAAAATGAAACGTTGGAACCTATGAACCTATACCACATCCGTCGGCTGCTGGGAGGAGTGTCACGCCGATTCATTGAATCTACGTAGAAAGCACACAGAGGGCTCGCAGTCATGCGTAACTTGGGTTGGCACTCCTTCGCTTATGCATACCATCAGGTGCGCTCGAGAATGTTCTGGCTCTGAGCAGTTGGGCAGAAGTAGAAGCGCCTGGCGGAACCATTCCAATACGTGCCTTCCTCAGCGTGGCGCGCACCGCACTCATCGTCTCCCCTCCCTAGTAAAAGTATGCGGTTAGCGCAGTTTCTCCTACTCGTTCTCCACCGTAATCCTTGCGGGTACCTTCGATGTTTTGGGCACGTTGGTGGGCTCCTTTGCCACTGACTGCTGCACTCTCCATCCATGTCTCAGCCGCGGTGTGAGCGCGGGTTTTCGTGCCGGTTCGGACAAGATGCGGGGGCATCTTGGTCGTGTGTCCCTTCGCATGTACGCATGTGTTTGCAGCCACGTTGCCTAGGCACCTACCTAGCTTGTAGCTGACAGCTGACCCACTCTCAAGCTCCGAACACACACATAACCGAGGAAGAGAGAGAAAGGGGGGGGGGGG